TGAAACTCCGACGAAACAGTTTGTCACAGCCTCTCGTTTGTTGTCCTCTTCTCTCTCTCTGCCTACGGTTTACCGGGCAGTTCTGTTTGTGACGATATATATACGATATAATTGATATACACATTTATTTTTTTTCGTTGTGGTTGGTGAAGCTACTTACGGAGGATTTTCTGAAATTTCCTAACTCTGCTTTTTTTGGTTTCCTCTTTTTCTTCCTCCCCACCCCCACCCCCACTCCCACCCCCTCCCTCTGTTTTTTTGAATGTCATGTTCTGCACTCAGGTCATATCTTGGAAGGGCAGAGGACATGTGCAGCCTGAAGTTGAAGTGACTGCATATCTAGTCGACCTGATGTCCAAGGACCCAGAGTTCAGGTGCAGTGCATGAACCAACCAATCAGCGAACCAACCCATAAACCAACCAATAAACCCACCAATCAGCCAATGAACCAACCAGCCAACCAACCAATCAAGCAGCCAATCAAGCAGCCAACCAACCCGTCAATCAACTTGTCAATCAACCAATCAACCAATCAACCAATCAACCAATCGACCAATCAACCAATCAACCAGCCAACCAGCCAACCAACCAATCAACCAACCAATCAACCAACCAATCAACCAGCCAACCAACCAATCAAGTAACCAATCAACCGACCAAGTGCAAGTGGTCACTTCCTTCTGCTCACCTCTCCACTCCATCTGCGAATCTCAGTCAATCAACCAATCAAGAATGGATAGGGAAAGTAATCAATGAAAAAGGCCTTTTTCATTCTCCCATTTCCCTATCCATTCTTCTCCCTCTCCTCGGTCAATTCTCTTCTATCCCTCAAGACACAGCGATAAGGGGAAGGGAAGAGGGAGGGGGGGAGGGGGAGGGGGAGGGGGGACTGAGATCTAAGGAAAGGAAGAAGGTGGATAGGGGGGGAGGGGAGAGGGAAGAGGTGTGGAAGGAGAGAACAGTTCTTCTTCTTCTTCTTCATGCCTTCCCTCTTCAACTCCTTTCCTTCTTTTTCTCCTTCTGCTCTTCTTTGGCCATTGCATAGTGTAGGTGACTCCCTCCCTCCCTTTCCCTCTCTATTTATAGGCAGACTCCCCGTCTATTTATAGACACACTCCCCTTCTATGTATAGACACACTCCCCGTCTATTTATAGACACACTCTGCCTGCTCGTACCCCTCATGTGTGGGGTCTGTTGTGTTATTATTTTGTTAATTGCTTATGCCTATGTGTTTGGTAATCATAAAGTAATCAAGGGTTAAAAAAAGTTAAAATGCCATAATCGTGTCAGCTACCCTGTTCCCTCAAGCATTAGCTTGCTGCTAAGGCCATCCCATCAACATTCTCTCCTCCTCCTCCTCCTCTTCCTCCTCCTTCTCCTCCTCCTCCTCCTCCTCCTCGTTCTCCTCCTCCTACTATTACTACTTGAACTAGTAAGGAAAGAAGAATCAAAACTATGCAAATAGGGAGGAGGAGAACGAGGAGGAGGAGGAGGAGGAGGAGAAGGAGGAGGAAAAGGAGGAGGAGGAGGAGGAAAAGTAGTCGTCATAGCAATAGCAATGTTTAGGAGAAGTTTTTGGGACAATGCGTACGGAAAATAGGAATGTAATGTGAAAGGATTGTTGGCAGAAGGTACTGATCAAGTTCCTGTGTGGTGGGCTGGAATGTGTTTGCTGAATGTATGTGGTCATGCGTGTGAGACGGTTGCAATGCGAGTGGGGAATGTATGTGGTCGCACGTGGGACGTGCGTGGGACTGAATTGATTGCAGCCCCCTGGTGGAACCGACGAGACATCTGCCGGAAAATGTGCTGCGCCTCGGATATGCCATGGCCATGATAAGGTTTGTCATTGTTTTTTTTTGTCCATTCTGTCTCTCTCTGTCTCTCTCTGTCTGTCTGTCTGTCTGTCTGTCTGTCTGTCTGTCACTCACGCTTTCTGTCTGGCTGGCTGGCTCTCTCTCTGTGGCATCATCATGTCCTTAAACTCCCTCCCCCTTTATATCTCTCATTGTTTGGAGGGAGGTGTGGAAGGAGAGAATGAACTGTGAGGTGGCCGCGGGCAGTTTCCGAAGGCCGGAACGGAAAATGGGCCACGGATTCCATTTATCGCCTGCGGCCCTCCTCCGTTCGGCTCCCTCGTTACCTCACTGGCGCATCTCAGCAAAATAGCTGGGAAAGGTACTGCTGCTTCTTCCAAGCAAAGAGTGCTGAAGGCAAGGCATGCCTTGTTGCCCGTTGTGTGTGTGTGTGTGTGTGTGTGTGTGTGTGTGCCTGTGGAATCCTCTTCACCATCTTGTTCATCATGCATTGTCCGGAAATTGTCATGGATTTACAATTGTACAGGATTGAAGGGCACAACGAATCCGTCTTTGCCGGAACCAGTGTCATGGCAGTGCGCCATTGTCTCACCCATAATCATAACAGTGGCAGAGGGCTAGGCAGCAACATGTCAAGACGACTATTTGGCTATCTGGCTATCTGGCTATTTGGCTATATGGTTAAGTGTTCCATGTCTTACCCACTCAGCTGTCAGGTGTTGCTTCAGCCTCTTCCTCCTCCTCCTCCTCCTCTTCTCAGGTCTCCTTAGTGTGTGCAAGATAGATGTAAATGATGATGCCTGGCATGGGGAAAATATGCACGGGTGTTGCCGTCTGCTGATAAGGGTTCCAGGGTTCGGACTTCATTACGCACTTGCAGGAGAGATGGAATGTGAATCCAGTCGCAAACGCGGGAAGATTCTCCCGTCACCAGTCTTTATTCTTATCTGAACCTGGTCATCCGCCCATCCTTTCTCTCTTTGTGGGTTTCTGAGAATAGATTAAAAAAGCCAAAGGCAAAGAAGCGACAGAATCCGACAGAGTTTYTKKTTTTTTTTTTTTTTTTTTTTTTTTTTGAATTCCCACCTGACCCATCTCATCCAACCATCTTGTGCATCTTGTCGTGGGTTTCTAATACTTTCTACCTGTTTTTTTTTTTGTTTTTTTTCCCCTCACGGTATGCTCGTGGATGTTCGGTGTGTGCTGCTGACTGCCAGACATATCTACAAGCACTGCCTTAAACCCACTGACACTTTCCATGCGTATTAATTGAATTTATCGAATTTAATTTAATAACTTTAATTCCGAATTTCAGTGGATGTCTTTGACTGGAGTGCAATCAGGGAGAGGGAAGCTGTATTTTTCTTAGTAGAAAAAAAGAGAAAGAAGTACATGGTGTGTTTCAAGTTTCAACCCATGGATTAGCATCTTGTGTGTCCCAACTGCCAGCAAGGCGCATCTACATGTCCTGTTTTTCTGTTTGTTTGTTTTGTTTCCCCACTCTCCTTCTCCCTTTCTCTCTCTCTCTCTCTCTCTCTCTCTCTCTTCTCTCTCTCTCTCTCTCTCTCTCTCTCTCTCTCTCTCTCTCTCTCTCTCTCTCTCTCTCTCT